TTTTTCGGTGTAACTCAAAAGTATTGGCGCGAATAAATTGAATGAAAAAACCAGAATCGTTGTGGAAATTTAAGTTGGGGCTTGGGATGCTCGCGGTCCCCCAGGCACCAATTTGAATACGTAGTAGATACAAGCCATTATTTAAATGTTCAGAAAACAACTAATCACCAATCTATAAAATTAAAAAAAAAAATAAGCTGGAAAAGGGTTTTTTTAAAACAGTTCGATAGAGTTATAGCGTATTTCCATCCACCTTCCAACATCCGTTGAAGGGATGGTCCTAATGTTGTTGCCGTTCCAAAAGCTTTCCAGTTAGACCGCCGTGAAAATTTGACGGACTAATTTATGTGATGGTTAGCCGATGTTCTTGCGGTGCAACCCTCTTTCCACGCAGTCCAGTTGTGATTTTTAAAATATGTCAAACTCAGCACGTCTCTTCCGATTTGAACCTGTTTTTCACCAAAACGTAAATAATGTCAACAGGTCAACCTTCTTTCTATATGTTTTGATAAGTTTAAGCTCTTCAGAACAGCTTTTATCGGAATGTGGATGTGCTCTTTGCAAATCTGAGTTTCACACTTTCTAAAAATTACAACTGGAATGCGAGGAAGAGGTTTACACCGAAAAAACAACGGATAACTATCATAAATTGGTCCGTCAAAGTCCATCAAAGTCAGTCAAATTTAAACGGCGGACTAGCTGGGAAATTTTTGCAAAGTCAAAACAATATGGACCTCCCGTTCAACAGATGGAGGATTTATATCTGTGGAAAGGGGCCATAAGCCACTGTGATTTTTGACAGATGGCGGATATTGGCTCTGTGGGAACACCAACCCACAACCCATTAAAATTCCCAGCCGTTTCGGTTGGACGGATTTGTGGGACTGAGCTATTACCAACAGTGCAAGAAGTTTGTTATAAAACCTCCATGTACCAATTTCAGCCGTTTCATCGCACTTAATTGGCCGACATGGAAAGCCATCACATTGGGGAAACGTCTGATAACGTAATGCATATACCTAAACAAAATGCTCTTAGCTTTTTTATAAAATGTATTTAATTTCAAAGCCTATAGCCCAGTTCCACAAGGCCAATCCAAATGAAAAGGTTGGTAATTATAATGGATGGTAGATTCATCTTCCCACAGAGCCACCATCCATCTTCCACCATCCATTAAAAATTACAGTGACGTATGCAGAAATATTCAACTCTTTTATGAGTTCTTGTTCTTGTTTATATGTTATTTCAACACTTTGGATTAGTGGTTGTATGGTTATCTGAACTTTTAAATTATGGTATATAAATCTCCATCGAATACGTCTCTGGTTCACGAAGTCAAAAATGGCCGCCTTGTGAATTCAAAATTCATTGGCGCCACGACTTTAGAATTGCATCGAAAGAACATCTGCTAAATATCGGCCAGAAACGTGCGGTTAAAAACATAAGTTCTACCGTTTAGGAACGGCGAAACCATACGGAATATATTTAATGAGATGGTGGAAGGTGGTCTGAGGGATTAGGCCATTAACAGTTTTAGCATAATTTGAAACTGCTTAATAGCCTGAGTCCATTGCCGCATTACTGGACTGTTTAAATGTGCCTGATTCCATTCGCGCATTAGCATTTAGCTTATGCTACTCCGACATGTGAGTGACACGAACAGCTGATCTCGGTTTGTTTACTTTTGAATTTTGGCCAATCAAAAAGAAATGAATTAAAATTAATAAACATGAAAGAGTTTACTCAACTCTTTAATGCTCATCAGGACATCCATAATGCGACCGAGGCCTTTGCCAACTTGGAGAAGCTGATTGCGTTGTTATGACGGGTTTGCAATGGAGACCACCACACTTTCTAAAAAGGGCAAGAATTCCCGTATGTGTGGGAGATATTTTATGCCAGAGATCCAGCATTAATGCATTGTGGTACTGCGAGCAGAATTTGCAGCGTGCGATCTAGTTTAAAGTCTTTTTTAACAAAATAGACCTGGCATTTAGATAACAGCTGATGTAGTGGTGTCACGAACATAATATCGTCAAACATCGGTATTTTCCGGTATTTTTCAAAAAACGTTCGGGCGAATGGTTTTTAATCGCATTTAGTTAACGCATTTATTTTAAATGTGGCATTTAGCCTTATGGGATTCCCTGTGTAAATAAATGCGCATTAGGCTAAATGAGTTTTAATGCGCCAACGGAATCAGGCTATAAAAAATCAAGTTTCACTGTTCTGTGGAAATACGATATAAGATCACACTTTTGTGTGACGACATCTTGGCTTCTTTGAATAATCACTCGATTTATAGAATATGCAACAGTAGTCAGTAGCAGTGACAACCGGAAATAAAGCATTTCTCTTTCCTTTGCTGTTTCAGAGCGAGCAGTAAGCCATTTTCGTGAATTTGTTGAAACTTCTGAGTTTGAATCAATGTAAGTACTTGCATTTAAAAAGACAATTTTCTTGACCCTAACATATCAAATCACGTAGATGCCGCGGGAAATAAAGGAAGTTAAAGACTTTCTTAATAAAGCACGTCGTTCAGATGCTCGCGCTGTTAAAATCAAGAAGAATCCGTCAAACACTAAATTTAAGATCCGTTGCTCACGGTTTCTTTATACCCTTGTCGTGCAGGATAAAGAAAAAGCCGACAAAATCAAGCAATCTTTACCGCCAGGACTGCAAGTCAAGGAGGTGAAATAAACCAACTGAAACTAGGGGCTTACTTCACTACACACATTGAAAGATAGGTTTACTTAAATCTGTGTTTAAAAATAAAGTGATGGCGCCATAATAAAACTGGATTTTGCTTAACGATTGTTTCTTTAATTTAAAACTAATATATCATCAGAGATCCGCGGCTTCACTTGAGTTGATCAAGTTTGACAAGCAAGAATGCAAACTTCGGTAAGCTGAAGGTTATATACACACTAGCAGCTATTACAAAAAGGAACAACAAAAAGCCAATTTTAAGTATTATTTGTATATGAAATTACTGTGAAGCGATATCAACGAATTTTATGTCCTTAATTTCTTAGAAATGAGGCTTAAGTCAACAGTAAGCAAACGAACTATAATTTGCTTATGTGAAAACATCGGAACTTAGAATATCCGGTTTTAGTCAGGTTTCTGTTAGCACAATAACGTTGGATAAAAAGGAAAAAATATCTGAGAAAAATCAATCATTTCCGCAGACGAGCCTTTCCGCATGAGTTCCATAAAGAATTCTCGTTGCTGCAGGGACGCATGCACCACTTGAAGTTCTGGAAGCAACCTTGTATAGGGACGACCGCGGAAATTGATTGTTAGAGCACGGATCCAATTCTGTGAGCATTGGCAAGGGCTTGCCGGCAAAATATTTTTTTTATCATATTTAATTTTTTTTTTATCTTGTTAAATTTCTTTTATTTTAGACAGCATTTCAATGTTCTCTTTTTTTTTAGTATTCTTCAGCTTGACCGATTACTAGCTTTGGATCAATCATAAATGCAAAATAAAAAAATTATTACAAGAAGTTTATCTTCGTTTGTTTGAAAGTAATGATTTAAGATATTAGAATTACTGTTTTAGTTTTACAAAAATCGGATGACTATATCATATAGGTCCCAAGGGCACAACCTGAAAAATATATACAAATATAATAAGTTCCCTGTTTTTCAATTGATTTGAAAACCTACTTTGTTACAAAGTAATGGTTTATTATTTCAAATGTACGCTGCAACAGAATGTGCTTGTGTGTGCAAAATAATAAGATACCTGAAGCGGTCCGAATGGGAATTTTTAAAAAAGTTTATTTATTTAGTCCAACGTTTAATCATTTGTTTGTTACAGGTATTATCGTCACGACATTTATACCTCGTTAAGAGGTTAAGAGAGGGATTTGTTTAACAAAGTGTTAAATATAAAAAAAAAAATTAAATTTGTCCATCAGTCAATGTTTTTATTTTTGTTTGGACTACGCCCGGGTTTAACATTGTGAAGATAATAATAAAAGACTTCTTGCTAAGCCAGTTTCTTCTTTTTTGTTACTTTAATAACAAAATAAACAATTTATTAAGTTTATGAACGTTCAAAAGCTAATATAAATAATAGTCTTTAAGAGATCTTTTGTAAAAAGACGCTCAATATTTTTTAATGAACATTTAATGATTGCGTAATTTTATAAGAAGAAAGAAGTGGGGCAATTTATTTACATACTCCAAATTTTGGAAACAGTTTTCCTGTTGCTCAAAGTTCCCTATCACCCTTAAATTTATAAATAAAACTATATCTGAATTTAAGAAATTATCGTATTGCTGTATCCTTGTCGAACTAGGATAGTAAATAAATAAATTAAATTACAATTAAATAAAATAAATCATTTAAAAACAAGAAAGGAAACAAACTTCGGCAAGCCGAAGTTCATAAACCCTGGCAGCTGTTGCAAAAATTAAATATTCTTGAAAACATTAAAATTATGATTTACATGCGTATATGTTTAAAAACATTGAAGCAATGATTATTTACAGCTCAATTATTCGAAAGTTCCTATGGAATCTATATGATATCGATTTCCGATTTTAATAAAACTAAAAGCGTAATTCTGAACTGTCAAATTACTAATAGGTCTTAAAGAATTTTTAATAAAAATTACAAAATAGAAAAATTACACCTTAAAAAAATTTTTTTTAATAATGGAAACAATAAATCGCATGGTAGCTTTAAGTTTTAGTCGTCCGATTTTGATGAAATTAATTAAATTAGGTAGTTCTAATATATTTAACCATTACTATATATCGAATATATATATATTTTTTCATTTATTTTGCCTATTGTTTCTATGGGAGCTATATGCTATAGTCGTCCGATACCTGCAATAGAAAGACAACTTTTGGAAACGTTTCATGCAGATAGCTTTAAAACTTGCGTAAAAACGGACGGACAGACTGACAGACGGACATGGCCAGATCGACTCTCCTAGTGATGCTGATCAAGAATATATAAACTTTATAGTAGCAAATTTGCTAGAAAATTTCCTAGGGAAATTACTTTTTCATACGAAAAAATGTCGGTTAAAAAACAGCTGGCGAACCTTTTTCGCTTTAAAGCGACATAAAATCGCCAGGTAAACGAATAACAGCCGAATACACATAAGTATATAAGCGGCGCACTGTGGAACCACCGACCACTTTTGTTTCCCAAAATTAATAACTCGATTTATATATATATATAT